TCACTCATAAGCGGGTGTTGAACCATGAGAACACATGGACACAGGAAGGGGAGCACTACACACTGGGGTCTGTTGGGGGGAATAGAGGAGGGACAGCGGGGAGTGGGGAGTTGGGGAGAGATAGCATGGGGAGAAATGCCAGATATAGGTGAAGAGGAGGAAGGCAGCAAATCACACTGCCACATGTGTACCTATGCAACTATCTTGCATGTTCTACACATGTACCCCAAAACCTAAAATGCAATAAAAAAAAGAAATAAAGAAATTTCTTTTAATACATGCAGCAAAGTCATTTTAATGACATTCAATTTGCAGCTTCATTGAGGTATTTCTATGTGGTAGGCAGACTGCTATGTGTGAGTTAAGAAGAAGAATATAACCCAGTTCTGGTCCCTAGGTCACTTTCAGCATAGCCAGAGAGGAAGAAAGAAAATGGATTAATGATACATGAGCAAAACAATCTTTGCCTGCTGACCTATTTCTCTGCTCTTGCATCATGTCAAAAACTCCTAGGTGGAAGGTCTGTTTGGAAATAAGACTGAAAATAGAGGCTGTAGGCATTTAATTTTTTTTCTTAAAGGCAAATCTATTGCATGAAACAATGGAAAAACTATTTTTGGCAAGAGACAGACTGCATAAATGAATGAAAAGGTTAAAGTAAATAAATACAATGGTAAAAATGTTAATTCTGGAAGAAAAGCACTGTGGTTTGAATAATTGGAAGGTTACATAATTACACTTTTTAAAAAGCCTGAGGTATACAACTCAGCAGCAAACTTAGTAAGTGACCTGTTACAGAATAATAAAGAGAGAGATTTATTATCGCCTCCATTTAACTTAACCCTCTTTGCTTCTTTCTTATGCAGTCTAAGACATTCTTCATGTTTTGATGTGTTCAAAGAATAGCTCTCCAATTAATGCCCTTGGAAGATGTCAGCCCCTTTGGACTTCTTCCTTCTCTAACTTCCTTTGCTCTGTGATGCTTTATGATGAGCCCCTTTCAGTAGAACTCTTCTTTCTTGACTTTCCTCTGTTTCTGCTCATATGATAGGAAGATTTCACTTCTCAAAAGTATTGGAAGGGAACCCTCTGTCCTTCTCTACTCACCTTTCCAGCCCCACTGGCTGCTTTCCAAGAGAGAAGGAAGGACATGTCTGACTGGAGAGTCAGCTGGAGCCCAAGATCCTTAGTCCAGGTTACCTGCTGTGCAAAGCTAAGCAGTGGCCCCTGGCTGTCCTATCTTAGCTGTATCTAAGGAGAGGCTGCTCACTGGCCTGCATGGTCTCCTTGGCACTCCACCTGGTAAATATGCCAGAGCTGCTCAGCTTGTGTCTAGATGGGGAACATAATTCATGAGAAATGCAACAGGAAGCCATCTGGTCTTGGGTTCAAGTGGCATTCTGCCATCTGGTTTTACCCTTAGTGTGAAGGATGTCTGGATCCCTCTGTGACTCCTGTGTATTTCCAAGTTAGTTTAGAATTTCAGAAGGAGACAGATGGGATTCATTGGCTCCCTCATGCCCTACCCTCCATATTAATTACTGTTCTATTTTCTAACTTTAACCCACAATTCAATGTTCATCATATCCATGATTAACGGAATGAATGGGTGGATGATGATATGGACTGATGGATTATTCAATAAATGTGTAAGTTGATATTGTTTTGATCACTAATTATATAATGTATTTTTGTCATGTAACCAAATAGATGATAAATTCCTCATGGGCTGGAACTTATCTTTACCTTTGTTTTATAAATCTACTTCCAGGATCATACTTCTGTACAAAGTAGCCATCCACTGATACTTGTCTGTAATAACAATATTTTATAGAACTTTATGATTTTTAAAAAGGTTGTACTCATATATCAACTCAGTACTCATCATGACCCTATGAGGCAGAGAAAATTATTATTATTCCTATTTTTCAATTAAGGAAAAATATCTAGAGAGTTAAAGGAACTTGCCCAAAGCTGCAAACTAGTTAGTAGGACAGCAGGACTGTACTCAGAGTCCCTGCCTGGGCCTGTGTTTTCTCTGCTCATCGTTCAGCTTTATAGACAAAACGATGATTGTTATACCCACCCCATTTACATGATCGGTGCTGAATGTTACAAATTTAAAATCACATGGGTTTCTGAATGAGGTAGTGCCAGTGATATGGTTTGGCTGTGTCCTCACCCAAATCTCATCTTGAATTGTAACTCCCACAATTCCCACATGTCATGGGAAGAACCAGGTGGGAAGTGATTGAATTATGGGGGCAGGCCTTTCCTGCGCTGTTCTTGCAATAGTGAATGAGTCTCATGAAATCTGATGGTTTTTAAAATGGGAGTTTCCCTGCACAAGCTCTCTCTTTGACTGCTGCCATTCATGCAAGATGTGACTTGTTCCTTCTTGTCTTTCACCATGATTGTGAGGCCTCCCCAGCCATGTGGAACTGTAAGTCCATTAAACCTCTTTCTTTTGTAAATTTCCCAGGCTTGGGTATATCTTTATCAGCAACATGAAAACAGACTAATATGGTAAATTGGTACCATGAGTAGGGTACTGTTGAAAAGATACCCAAAAATCTGGAAGCAGCTTTGGAACTGGGCAACAGGAAGAGATTAGAAAAGTTTGGAGGGCTTAGAAGAAAATGTGAGAAAGTTTGGAACTCCCTAGATACTTGCTAAATGGCTTTGACCAAAATGCTGATAATGATATGGACAATGAAATCCAGGCTGAGGTGGTCTCAGATGGAGATAGGAACTTGTTGGGAACTGGAGCAAAGATGACTCTTGTTATGTTTTAGCAAAGAGACTGGCGGCATTTTGCCTCTGCCCTAGTGATCTGTGGAACTTTGAACTTGAGAGAAATGATTTAGAGTATTTGGCAGAAGAAATTTCTAAGCGGCAAAGCATTCAAGATGTGACTTGGGTGCTATTAAAAGCATTTAGTTTTATAAGAGAAGCAGAGTATAAAGTTCAGAAAATTTGCAGCCTGACAATGTGATAGAAAAAAATCCCATTTTCTGAGGCGAAATTCAAACTGGTTGCAGAAATTTTCATAAGTAACAAGGAGCCAAATGTTAATCACCAAGAGAATGGAGAAAATGTCTCCAGAGCATGCCAGAGGTCTTCACAGCATCCCCTCCTACCACAGGCCCATAGGCCTAGGAGGAAAAAATGGTTTCTTGGGCCAGACCTAGGAGGAAAAAATGGTCCCCATGCTGTGTGCAGTCTAGAGAATTGGTACCCTGTGTCCCAGCTGCTCCAGCCATGACTAAAAGGAGCCAAGGTACAACTCGGGCCATGGCTTTAGAGGGTACAAGCCCAAGCCTTGGCACCTTCCACATAGTGTTGAGCCTGTGGGTGCACAAAAGTTAAGAACTGAGGTTTGAGGATCTCTATCTAGATGTCAGAGGATGTATAGAAATGCCAGGATGACCAGGCAGAAGTTTGCTGCAGGGGTGGGGCTCTCATGGAGAACCTCTGCTAGGGCAGTGCGAAAGAGAAATGTGGAGTCAGAGCCCCACACAGAGTTCCTACTGGGACACTGCCTAATGGAGCTAGGAGAAGAGGGCCACCATCCTCCATACCCCATAATGGTAGATCCACTGACAGCTTGCACTGTGTACCTGGAGAAGCTGTGACTTCTAAACATCAGCTCATGAAAGCAGCTGGGGAGGAGGCTGTACCCTGCAAAGCCACAGGGGCAAAGTTGCCCAAGACCATGGAAAACCACCTCTTACATCAGCGTGTCCTGGATGCGAGACACGTTTACCCAATGCCTGCACCTCCATTGTTATCTAGGAAGTAACTAACTTGCTTTTGATTTTACAAACTCATACGTGGAAGGGACTTGCCTTGTCTCAGATGAGATGTTGGATTGTGGACTTTTGAGTTGATGCTGAAATGAGTTAAGGCTTTGGAAGACTGTTGGGAAGGCAATGATTGGCTTTGAAATGTGAGGACAGATTTGGGAGGGGCCGGGGTGAAATGATATGGTTTGGCTGTCTGTGTTCCTACTCAAATCTCATCCTGAATTGTAACTTCCACAATTCCCATGTTTCATGGGAGAAACTGGGTGGGAGATGATTGAATTATGGGGCAGATCTTTCCTGTGCTGTTCTCATGATAGTGAATGAGTTTCACAAGATCTGATGGTTTTAAAAATGAAAGTTTCCCTGCACAAGCTCTCTCTTTGCTTGCTGCCATCCATGTTAAGATGTGACTTGCTCCTCTTTGCCTTCTGCCATGATTGTGAGGCCTCCCCAGCCATGTGGAACTGTAAGTCCATTAAACCTCTTTCAAAATTGCCCAGTCTTGGTTATGTCTTTATCAGCAGCATTATAACATACAAATACACATAGGAAAGCAAGAACAATGTAATTAAATATGAGGGCAGGCAACTGTAATGATAACCAGCAGTTACTAAGTTATGTTTTAGGCATTTATGTGTATTATCTTTTTCAATGTGCACAGAAAGCCTAGGAGGCAGACACTGCTATCATTCCTCCTTTACAGATAAGGACATTGAGGCATGAGAGACTGATGGCCAAGTTCACCCAGTGAATGGTAGAGCAAGGCTGGGATCAGGCAGTTTGTTACCAGACTTAGGAAAATATGATATAAAGGATTTGCAAGGACAGAAAATCTCCAGTTAGATAACAAAGAGACAACAAATGGGAAGTGGTCCTGTAGCAGATGTGAGATTACAAGAGAAAAGAGAGGGAAAAAGAAGAAAAATAAAGGTAACTAACCTGGATTTTGAAACAACAACAACAAAAAAAGATGCATTCCTAGTTATGAAACTCACTCCTTGTTTAAGAAGGGATTCACTAAGCATAAGTAAGACTTACTCTTACATAACATGCCTGATGTTTGTTCTTTATGTATAAGAGAGTAAATTATTAAAAAAATTAAAGTAGAATGTTATAAACATAGCACCCCAAGCTATTAAAAAAGCAAAGCACTTTCAATTTCATGTACTAAAAAAGGAGAGGGGGAGTGTCTACCTTTTTGTACATTGTTTCAAGCTCTGCCTTAATGCTCAGCTCCTGTGTTTTGACTTGTGGCCTTGAAGGAAATGGCTTGATGGGGTTTGGCAGAGCTAGGATCCTGCCATCATCTCCAAACCATCTTCTTTCCTGTGGATGAAGCAGAGGGAATCACTATGTTTTCTTCTAATTGAACAGAAAATGGGTTGCAACACAAACAACATTTCTTGAAAATTCTGTGTCAAGATATATATTTCATGTAACTCTGCCCCCAACAGAACTGTAAAAGTCTTTTTCCATTAGAAAGCAAGTCTTCACTAACACCTCTCACAACTAATTTGAAATATACACCCTGGCTGCTAAAAAGTATTTTAAAGAGCTTAGGGCTGGGTGAGGTGGCTCACACCCAGCACTTTGGGTGGCTGAGGCAGGTGGATCATGAGGTCAGGAGTTTGAGACCAGCCTGGCCAACATGGTGAAATCCCATATCTACTAAAAATGTCAAAATTAGCTGGGCATGGTGGTGAGCGCCTGTAGTCCCAGCTACTCAGGAGGTTGAGGCAAGAGAATCTCTTGAACCCGGGAGGTGGAGGTTGCAGTGAGCTGAGAACACACCATTGCACTCCAGCCTGGCCAACAGAGCAAGACTCTGTCTCAAAAAAACAAAACAAAACAAAAGCTAAAAAAGCTTAAATATGAATGCTTAAGAAAAATTTATTTTCTATTTACTAAACATTTAAGGATAAAAACTCAAAATTGAGACTATTCTACCTAGAGATAATTAAAAAATTCTGTCAAGTAGGAAAAGGTTGCCAGCATCTGGCTTAGCAGATCCAGCTAGCAAAGATGGGTTTTGAGTAGTTTAGAAGTTATGTTATTTGAGGATCAATAAATGTACTGAGAGAGAAAGTTAAAAAAAAAAAATGAACCACTTTCTGTGGATGACCTCAAGAGGAAATGAGTATAGTGGATGCAATGACTGCCCTGTTAGGAAATTAAAAGCTATGTCTAGTGAGCCCTGGCCACACTTGGGAGCAAAGTATACACACTTACGGGGTCCTGCACCAGCAGTCTGTTCTCCATGATGTTCTGATTGGTGCGTGACACCTCTGGTCTTACCCCTGTGTAAAGGCCTTCATCTTCCAGAAATCTTGGCTGTACATTCTCAGGAAGCTTTTTATATGTAGGTACTAGATGGTTTACAAATACATAAAATAAATATTAGGGCCAATCTAAATACCTCAATCTGCAGTTTGGTGAATTAAGCACCAGAGATTTCATTTATGTTCTTAGAAAATGCAGATTTTCCAAACTAATTTATAAAAGCAGAACCAAGGAAAAGATGAATGTGTTCACTTATAGCAACATGTTATAGAATCAGGTATCTAAAGAAAATTCCTAAAGAATTTAATATGTAACTCATCATTGTGGCATACTGAGAAGAAGATAATATTCAAATCAAAGGACGAGGGACAAGTTTTAGCTCTATTACTCTTCAGCTGGGTGAACTGGGCCAGGCACTTCTTTCTACTCTTTTCTCCTGTACAGAAGAGATAATAATCTACTTAACTGAGCTTCTGGGAGAATTAAATGAGGTAAAGTATGAGGATATGCCTTGTAAACTAACAAGTTTATTTGAGTGAACGTGATCATTGTCTCATTTATTCATTCACTGCTTTATTCATTCATAGAATACATCTTTACTAAGAGCCTCCTTGTGCCAGGCACAGATGAGACCTCAGGAATCCAGGCCAGGCCCCTGCTGCCTTGGAGCTTAGATCATAGCGGAATTGATAGGCAGCAACAGGTGCAAAGGTCTCTATAAGATCACATCATATCACGCCTGTAATCCCAGCACTTTGGGAGGCCGAAGTGGATGGATCACGAGGACAAGAGATCGAGACCATCTGGTTAACATGGTGAAACCCCGTCTCTACTAAAAATACAAAATATTAGCTGGGCATGGTGGCTCGTGCCTGTAATCTCAGCTACTCAGGAGGCTGAGGCAGGAGAATTGCCTGAACCTAGGAGGCGGAGGTTGCAATGAGCTGAGATCGCGCCATTGCACTCCAGCCTGGGTAACAAGAGCGAAACTCTGTCTCAAAAAAAAAAGATCACATCGCAGAGTAGTAAGAAAACACAAAGGGGATGGTAACTTATGGAAGGGTGGGGATAAAGTTAAGATGAAAGAAAGGCTGTTCTCATAAACTCTCAGCCCTGTAACTGATCACTGATTTGATAAAGGGTTCCCACAGTACTCTGGTGTATCTTCCATTAGTCTGTCAATAAGTGTTTGTTGAATGGATATATTTTTCCATGTTCTGTGTATGTGTGTGTGTGTGTATGTGTGTGTGTGTGTGTATGTGTGTTTTATAGTACTTTAGGTTCTGGGGTACATGTACAGATCATGCAGGATTGTTGCATAGGTACATACATGGCAATATGGTTTGCTCCCCCCATCCCTCTGTCACCTGTCTCTGAGATTTCTCCCCATGTTATCCCTCCCCAACTGCCCCATCCCCTGCTATCCCTCCCCTGGCTCCACCCAACAGACCCCAGTATGTGATGCTCCCCTCCCTGTGTCCATGTGTTCTCATTGTTCAACACCCGCCTATGAGTGAGAACATGTGGTATTTGATTTTCTGTTCTTGTGTCAGTTTGCTGAGAATGATGGTTTCCAGATTCATCCATGTCCCTACAAAGGACATGAACTCATCCTTTCTTATGGCTGCATAGTATTCCATGGTGTATATGTGCCACATTTTCCCTGTCTAGTCTATCATCGATGGGCTGGATGGGTTGGTTTCAGGTCTTTGCTATTGTAAACAGTGTCACAGTGAACATATGTGTGCATGTGTCTTTATAATAGAACGATTTATAATCCTTTGGGTATATACTCAGTAATGAAATTGTTGGGTCAAATGGAATTTCTATTTCTAGATCCTTGAGGAGTCTGTCTTCCACAATGGTTGAACTAATTTACACTTCCACCAACAGTATAAAAGTGTTCCTATTTCTCCACATCCTCTCCAGCATCTGTTGTCTCCAGATTTTTTAATGATCGCCGTTCTTACTGGAGTGAGATGGTATCTCAATGTAGTTTTGATTTGCATTTTTCTAGTGACCAGTGATGATGAGCATTTTTTCATGTTTGTTGGCCTCATATATGTCTTCTTTTGAAAAGTGTCTGTTCATATGCTTTGCCCACTTTTGAATTGCTTGTCTTGATTGTTAAATCAGATTGGAAACGGGAATCAGTTCTGGAGATGAGGCATCCTTATACACTAACCATATTTCATTGCAAGTTAGGTGACAATGTCTAAGCTGAACAAGAAAATAAAAAAAGCGAGTACCTGTCTGCCTACTCGGTATGAAGAGCATTTCTCTTTCCATCTGCAGCCGATCGTGGATGCTTTCATAATCTGCAGGTCTGACTGCTACAAAATCATCAGCCACATGATCTAAGCCCAACAGGAAGTCCTCGGCATCATCACCATTAAGGAGTTCTTCCTCATCCTGCATAATGTTAAAAAATAACAAGAAAAAATCATGCTAAGGTTCTTAGAAAAATAACAATACCAAACTCATCAAACTTAACATTAACAACAACAAGTTTATCTTTTTCTTTTAAAAAAAAATGAAAGCATAGAACTATATAAGCTGTTGTATTTAACAAGTGGGTTTTAAAAAATTGTTTTTGCACTATTCTACATACCTGGAAGATGTGAATACCAGAGATGGCTGGATCAGAAGAGAAGTGGTAAGCAAAACAATCAAAACCCCAACAAATCTGGCCTCCTTTAAGGGTACTTGCCTTTCACCATTCATGTAAAGAATCGGGCTTATACTTTATGTAGCAGTTTCACCTTCCACCTGGCACTAACCCGAGGGAAAAGGCACCAAGTGCACAGTCTACACACCTTGTTCAGACTGCCTGGGCTTACATCCCAGCTTCACCTTATACTGCCTGAGGAACTTGAAAGAACTTATTTAGCCTTCTGATCCTCAGTTTCCTCACTTATAAGATAGTTATAGTAATAGAGTTTACCTCTAAGCACTTTGTGAGGATGAAATTAAATGACGTACTTAAAAATTCAAAGCAAAGAGACTATTATCAGAAATGTTAGCTGAATATTGATTTTGTTTGAATATCTTCCAAACGTTTTCTCCTCCTTCCTCTACTTTTTCTTTTTCCATCCCTTCTTTTAAAAATTTAAAGCTGGTATCCGTTTATGAGCAACATCTCTTAAAATCCTGTGGAGACTTTCAATAGCTGAAAACAACAATGGCAGTCTAGCTACCTGGCTCTTAATATTTCCTCCCCAAGTACACAAAACAATAAGAAGGAAAAAGGAATCTATGTGGAAACCAGGCTTTTAACTTAACTTGAAGACAGAGAATGTCAAAACATCAAACAAATGAAAAATGAAAGATCACCAGATGGCAGTGTGTAATCTTCCTTCCCCTGCCCCACCTCTGCTTCGTGGTGAGCAAAATCACCCAGAGAAAAACTACAGAGAAGACAGAAATGGGAATCTATGAAAGGGACTACAGAGGATTTAAAACTTTGTTCAAAAAGACTAAATCAACCTTGAAGATGAAAATACTTTAAGTGTCTGGGCAGAGCAGAGCATGGACTATAGGAAAGGGGCTTCGAAGTGTGTGTGATTTAAAAGAGCAGTTTTAGGAACACAGCTTCTGGAGCAGTGAATAGGCAAAAGGAAGGAGAAGTGGCCTTTGGAGGAAAGTGTCAGAATTTCAGAAGGTGTTCACAATTGGAGACTTCTGTCTTCAAAAGGTGGAGCCCAATTCTCCTCCATTTGAGAGTGCACTGTGTCTCATGACTTGCTTCTCTGGAGTAAAATATGGCAGAAGTGACAGTGTGTGGCTCCTGAGACCGGGACGTAAAAGGAACTATGTGTTTTTCTTTTTTTGTGTTTGTTTTTGTTTTTGGTTCTCCTCTAGATCACTTGCTTTTGGGAAGCTAGCTGTCATGTCAGGAGGACACTCAAGCAACGCTGAACAAACTGAATGCTGATTTGTGAAACAATTATTACAGAATAAGCCAAAATATTCCCAAGCTTCTGTAGATCTAGGTTAAAAAAATACATTTCTGGGAGGCATTTTTCAAGGGAGGAGATTGTAAGTGAAGCATAGAAATATGCTAGTTATGCAAATACTAGAATATCCTAGTGTGTTTTCCTTATTTTTTTATATGGTAAAATATATAAAACATAAAGTCCACCATTTTAACTGTTTTTTTGAGATGGAGTCCTGCTCTGTCATCTACGCTGGAGTGCAATGGAGCAATCTCAGCTTACTGCGACCACAGCAACCACTGCCTTCTGGGTTCAAGCAGTTTTCCTGCCTCAGCCTCCAAGTAGCTGGGATTACTACTTGGAGTGCCCGCCACCACACCCAGCTAATATTTGCATTTTTGGTAGAGATGGGGTTTCACTATGTTGGCCAGGCTGGTTGTGAACTCTTGTCCTCAGGTGATCCACCTGCCTCAGCCTCCCAAAGTGCTGGGATTACAGGCATGAGCCACTGTGCCTGGTCCATTTAAACCATTTTTTGGTGAACACTTCAGTGGCATTAAGTAAATTCATACTGTGGCACTACCATTACCACCACCTGTCCATCTTCCTGAAATGAAATTCTATAACTATTAAACAATAACTTTCCATTCTCTTCTTCCTCTAGCCTCTGACAACCACCATTCTACCTTCTGTCTCTATGATTTTGACTGTACAACATAGCTCATGTAAGTGAAATTACACAGTATTTATCCTTTTGTGACTGGCTTACTTTTCTCAGTGTAATGTCTTCAAGGTATGCCTATGTTGTGGCATGTGTCAGAATTTCCATGCTTTCTGAGGTTGTATATTTATGTTTATCCATTTATCTGCTGATGAACACTTGGCTTGGCTTTTGTGAATAATGCTGCTGTGAACATTGGTGCACAAGTATATGTTCAAGTTCTTGTTTTCAGTGATTTTGGATATATACACAGAGTGGAACTGAATTGCTGGATCATATTGTAATTCTGTGATTAACTTTTGAAGAATGACCATACTGTTTTTCATAGCAGCTGCACTATTTTATATGCCGACAAGCAATGCACCAACATCTAATTTCTCCATAACCTCTATCACACTTATTTTGTTTTTTGGTAAGGGCCATTCTAACAGATATGCAGGGATATCTCATTGTGGGTTTGATTTGCATTTCCCTACTGATGAATGGTGTAAGTATCTTTTTATGGGCTTATTGTCCATTTGCATGTCTTCTTTGAAGAAATGTCTATTCAATACCTTTGCCCATTTTTAAATGATGTAGCCTCCTTTTATCTCATACATACCACCCACAATTACAGAATTTGAGTGGTAGCCTGGGTGTGGTGTTTGGGCACAAGAAGCTGCTCACTTGGTAAGAGAGAGACTGAGGTTTCATTTGCCTTTCAGAGGCACATATTTTGCACATGGAATAAATAATCGTTATGTGGAGTCTAGCAAGAAAAATCCACAAGCCACATTATTTAATTTTTTTTCCACAAAAGAAGGATCAACAGGTTTAATCAAGGTCCTTCCTACTGCATTGTAGGGTCTAACCCAGAACTACAGGAAGCCATGTGAATTCAGTACTTGGGATTGCAATGCAGATGTGGAGAGTCTTTGTACTAGTGGTGGCAGGTTTCTCCTGAGCCACTTTGCTCCTTGCAGGGACATCACCCTTTTCCTCCTAGCCCTCCACCCGCACCCCGTTACCATCCTGATATTAAATACCGTTTCCTTTTCTCCTCTGTGTGCAGGTGGCTCTTCTTCTTCCCCTTCCTCCTCCTTTAGATTAGTTCCCTCTCTGTGTCTTGCTTTTGGTTTTTTCTCTGATTCCTCTGGTTCAGGATCAAAGTTGAAAGTGAAGAAGTTATAGGCCTCTTCTGCAGAAGGGAAGCCAGGTGGAACCTAATGAAAAGCAAGGAGCAATTGCAATTTCACATTTCTAAGTTGTAACGAGCTCTGCACAATTAACTGACAACTGGCTTGATGTTAATGCGAGCAGGCATATTCTAGGCCTCCGAAGCATATTGTCTTAGTAAAGGTGTGAGATTACTGGTAATGAACTTTAATGCCTGCCATAGCCAATTGGAGGCCTCCTTTAGTAGTAACTCTAATTAGTGACTTTTAAAAAACCCAGCAATTATTTACATTCCAATAAGTATATAAATATATTATTTATAGCAGTAAATGCTTTAGAAAAGATTAAAATGACAGTGGATTTATTATTTTATCAGCCAATGCTGAGATAGTTTTGTTTTATTATGAGAAATACAGAATTTTTTAAGCAAATAACTTTTTTTTATTGTTTCTCTTTTTGAGTTAGTACTCACCTTTCTTCCCATTATGAAAGTCGGGGCAACTTCGGAGCTGAACAAGTTGTCTTATCACTAACATCTCCTGTCTTTGCATGCACCCGCGCCCCGCATCCCCAGGTGAGCCAATATTCTGATCTCTCCAGCTATTCTGAAAGTTGGAGGTATTTCTCCTACTACTTTTTTCTTGCAGACTGCATGGCAACAGGAGTCAGGTTATGTTGCAGTCACTTATTTAGAGACAGAGTCTCACTCCATTGCCAGGCGCCAGGCTGGAATGCAGTGGCACAATCGTGGCTCACTGCAACCTCTGCCTCCCAGGTTCAAGCAATTCTCCTGCCTCAGCCTCCCGAGTAGCTGGGACTATAGGCTCATGCCACCACATCCAGCTAATTTTTGTATTTTTAGTAGAGATGGGGTTTCACCATGTTGGCCAGGATGGTCTCGATCTCTTGACCTCATGATCCACCCGCCTCAGCTTCCCAAAGTTCTGGGATTACAGGCATGAGCCACCGCGCCCGGCCCATCACTTATTTATTTTTAATTTAGAGACTGTCTCACTCTGTCACCAAGGCTGGAGCGCAGTGATGCAATCACAGCTCACTGCAGCTTTGAGCTCCCGGCCTCAAGCGACCCTCCCATCTCAGCCTCCCGAGTAGCTGGGACTATAGGCTTGTGCCACCACACCCAGCTAATTTTTGTATTTTTTGTAGAGATGGGGTTTCACCGTGTTGTCCAGGCTGGTCTTGAATTCCTGTGCTCAATGGATCCACCCATTTTGGCCTCCCAAAGCACTGGGATTGCAGGCATGACCCACTGCACCTGGCCTGTAGTCATTCTCATCAGATATTTTTTAAAAATGCAAACAAATAATTTAAAAAGACAAGATTTCTCACCTGAGGTTTAGGTTTGATTTTTCGTGCAGAATCACGGAACTTTACTCTTGAATGACTTTGGGAATCAATTTCTTGTTGAGTACTTTCTACCTCCTTCCCTGGCTATATGAGTGGAAAAAAATGATAGATAAACCATTTAAACCAAGAAACTCTGGATGTTCTAAAATGAAGGTTAACCCTTCCCCACCCCCAAAGGCTTATCTTCTGATTGCTGCTGCATCTCATCATTCCTAAGGCATGGAATGTTAGCAAATTTCAAATGTAGTCATGCACACCGTAGTGACAACCTGCAGAACTGACGGAGGTCCCATAGAGTATTTTTACTGTACCCTTTTTATGTTTATATATAAAAATACTTACCATTGTGTTACAGTTGCTATGGTATTCAACAAAAATAACATGCTCTTCAGATTTGTAGCCTAGGAATGTGGTTGGCTATGCTGCCTAGGTTTGTGTCAGGATATTCACACAATGATGTTCTCACAGTGATAAAACTGCCTAAGAACACATTTCTCAGAATATATCCCTATCATTAAGTGATGCATGACTGTATATTTGCTGAATATTTTCTTACTCATCTCTCTCAAGACTAAAAAATATAAAATTTTATATTGAATAAGCTTTAAAATCAAAAGTATTGGCCAGGAACAGTGGCTCACGTTTGCACTCCCAGAACTTTGGGAGGCCAAGGTGGGCAGATCACCTGAGGTCAGGAGTTCGAGACCAGGCTGGCCAACATGGTGAAATCCCACCTTTACTAAAAATATGAAGATTAGCCCGGTGTGTTGGTGCCTGTAATCCCAGCTACTTGGGAGGCTGAGGCAGGAAAATCCCTTGAACCCGGGAGGTGGAGGTTTCAGTGAGCTGAAATTGCACCACTGTACTCCATCCTAGGAGACAGAGCAAGACTCCATCTCAAAAAAAAAAAAAAAGAAAGTTTTATCTCATCCTATAAATTAAGATTATCCACTTTACAGAGGATCGTTTCCAAACAGTCTATAAAGAAAACCACTAATAATGTCTGATTATAAATAAGTCCAGCATACACCCTCCAGGGCACATGGCCTGTCCTCACTTAGCCTCTGGTCCTGCTATCCACCCTGGAAAGCTGAGTCCTCTGCCTCTATTTGCTCTATGTGATAGTTATCATATGGGTATGCCCTTTCTCCTCTGAAAGCTAATCTGCAAGGTGCTATTTTCGACTTCTTTTTTTTAAATTTATTTTTTAGTGTTTTTTTACAGAGTCTTGCTCCGTCACCCAGGCTGGAGTGCAGTGATCTTGACTCACTGCAACCTCTGCTTTCCTGCTTCAAGCGATTCCCCTGCCTCAGCCTTCCAAGCAGCTGGGACTACAGGAACCCACCACAATGCCTGGCTAATATTTTGTATTTTTAGTAGAGACAGGGTTTCACTGTGTTATCCAGGATGGTCTCTATCTCCAGACCTTGTGATCCACCCATCTTGGCCTCCCAAAGTGCTGGGATTACAGGCGTGAGCCACTGTGCCTGGCCTGTTTTCAACTTCTTACCCATCTTATTTCTAATCCCCCTGTTTTAAAACCCTGACACTCCTCCTTTTTCATGAAGCACAATCTAAATCCCAAGGAATTTTGAGTAATTCTAAGCCATTCCAGTAGTATATATAGGCATTCATAGCAAGAAGGAACATACTTATTCTACCTATGAAAGAAACCTGATCATTATTATATGGACTGAGAATTATTTCACAGCATAGAATAACTCACCCAACAACAGTAATGTAGTGTGCCATCGTCACTGGGGACCTTCAATATATCCCTCCCAAGTCCTACCTGTTCCTCAAGACCACATAAAGCTAATTCCTTTCTTTATCCTAAAATGAACTCTCTTTTTTGGAATCAAATTGTCTGATTCATGTCAGGCACTGTCCTGTAGAGCTTGGCAATTGAAACCATGGGCTCTGAAGTCTGACTCCCTGGCTTTCAATTTTAACTTCACGACTTACAACTTAGGCTACTGGGGAAGAGCATCAGATAAGGAAATGTACATAGAAAATAACCAGTTAGGTATGTTAATCATAGCTATTATTATAATATTAGCAGCTTTTTCTTGCATGTCTGGTTTTTTTTTTTTTGTCTATACTTTGTATGCACATGATATGACTAAAGATTTTAGTTTAGCCCATGGGAAACCAGAGCCTGTAGCAAGGGTTTTTCTGTGTCTGTAGTTGACTCTGAGAAGTGACACCAAGGAATAGGAACTGGGGACTGGAAGAATAAAGCAGGTGGAAAATCAGTGCAGGAGAACTTTATTGAGAAGGCTACCACTGTGGGCAAGAGAGTGTAACCCACAGGGATCCTCTGAGGAATCATGTAGACTGCTTCTCAGAACTGTCCACCAGGGACATAGAAAAGGGGAATATTTGTCTAATGGCTTCTGTTCCCCAGGTGGTTGGAGGGGATCAGACAGATGGCCCAAAATATGGTGCTTTGACATGCTGAACTGAAGAAGAAGCCTCAAGGTCTCTCTGACCTCCCCTACCCTTGATGCCAAATTCTGTCTCTCCTAAAGCATAGGGCAAGGTTGTTCTCCGAAGTTCCCTTACCTTCCTGAGTCCAAACCTGCCAAAGAGGACAGTGACCTTTGGTCCCTCCCCCAAGTGTTCATTAACTGTACCCATATCGCAGGAAGAAAGACTGAAGTCCATCAACACACTTGGACAGACTTTAACCAAAAAACACTGTCTGCTCTGTGGGCCCAACAGACTTTGTCCGAGGGCACTGTATGTTCTTCAGACCCATTGAGTTCCTCTAAAAATCATTTGCCACTCGCTAAAATCATCCACACTTCCCCGTCTCTCTTTCCTCTAGGATGCAGGGCACATAACTATCTGTACTCCTTGCAAGTTGATAAATGTGTATGCCTTTTCTCCTATTAATCTACCTTTTGTCAGCTGATTTTCAGTGAACTTTCGGAGGGTGAAGGGGATGTTTCTCCTTGGCCCCTACATAGTTGGGGATTACAGCAGAGGGTGTTAAGCCCCTGGTGCTCCCAGTTTTGCATATGTGTCAGAATACCTGAGTGGGCCTCCACAAGCCTTCTGGAGAGGCAGGGATACCCCTGGAATGAAACCTGGAGGTATAGTAAAGTGAGGTGCTGTCAAATTTCACTTAGGTCCAGTAATGTCCAGAATAAAAACGAGGGTGTCAGTTGGGTACAATCTATCATAATATCAAGCGACTTATATACTTTCCTTTTATGCTGAATTCTGTACTTCTTCATTTTCTCATTTTGTAGTGTTAAGGTTAAATAATTATCTACCAACTCAATTGTACAAAAGTTGAAGCTGTGCTAATCAATACATTCCACAATGCAATGCAAAATGAAGTTATTATTTGTCTTGGTAAATTTCAGTATTTTAAATATTTTTGAGTTTGAAGAAAGAAGCAGATGATTATTACCTAGTGTAAGGACAATTTTTTAAAAACTGAAGTAGAATAAAGATCAGATTCCTGTGCTTGGTCAGGAGGGCTTTTTAAGATTCTGCCAAGTCAGGTCCCCTTGTAAAATAGGGTCAAGACTTCCTCACGAATTGTGGATGAGGCCATTCTATTTCTGTCTGCCCACCTCCTATAGCACAGGAGAGAGACTGATGTGTTTGAAAACACGCAAAACAAACCGAGAAGTCAACCCATGAGAGAGAAACTTGGCTCTGTATAGGCGAGCTTGGGCTTAGAGATCTGTGAAGATGATGATAATAAAACACACAACCAGGCAGAAAGCCTAACACTAGTAATCTAGAAAATAATTAGGTTAAACGGCAGGTGGCAAAATATGTGGAGATTATTATTTTTGTTTCTTTCCATTGGGTTGGTATAGAAAATATGCTCAGATAATATAATATCACTGATGTGATTTATTGCAGTATTGATGGTTTTGTTACAATATTTGCAGACTTGATAAAAAAGTGTATAATGTAATTTTTGTCAAAATCTTAAAAAGTTTTAAAGTGAATTATATTAATACATTTAAGGCCATTAATTATAGTTAAAATGACTGAGCATGCTGAGTTAAATTTTAAAGAACTATTATCTATAATACATTTGTATAATCTTAAAGTAATAATTACAATCAATTTCAATCCAGCAATCAAATATAGAGTGCCTATCATTCATATGGGCACATATCCATCTAGGAATTCATTCTCACCCTTAAATTTGTTGTATCCTCCAAGAAGGCTCTAGGGCCCTCTTCTGACTTGGACTAGACCAATTCAAGTCTCACTGCTTTTGTTATAGCATAATTACAAAATATATTTGCTCTAGCCCTGATCTCTCTTCTAAACCAATTTCTTAAAAGACACCCTAATCTGATTGTTTTGTAGACCCCTCAGATTTTTACATATGCTTGATACTGGTCCTGATACTAATCAAGATACATGATTTGCAAACAAATTCTCCAGTCCATGTGTTCTTACTTGTTCAATGGTTTCCTTTGAAGTACAAGTTTTTAATTTTGATGGAGTCCAATATAGCTCTTTATCCTTTTGTTACTTGTGCTTTGGGTGTCAGATCAAATGAAGCCATGGCCTAATTCAAGATACCTTAAATTTTACATAACCTGATTTTGAAGCTGGGATGAGGTACCATTTTGGTGGGCTGCTAACAGCACCCACCACAGAGCTGAATCCCGCTGTACCTCCACTAGCTGTCAACCCCACTGAGCTCCTCAAGGGTGAGCTGTCACTGCCATTGCTGTGTGTTCTCAGTCTATTGGACACCTGGAAGGAAGGAGTTTTTCATAAATGCTGGCTGAGCAGCAGGTAGGTTTGGTTCAAGGATCAGATCTTGGGTAACCTGAGACAGTGAACCAGGGCCACATGTAGAGAAATTTTGGTCATATCTAGTGGAGGCCAAGGTTTCAAGGTTCTGTGTTACTTCTACTTTGATATTTATGTGTTCCTAGAGATTTGCATTTATTCACCAATTGCAAGTCTGCTGAGTATAAAGTGAAAGGAAATACAAAAGAGATTAAGCCGTGGTTTGCGTTGGTAAATGTGGATTACTGACAAAAGTATTCCCAACTCGTTTCTTCTTCTTTTCTCACTGAGTATACAGCATCTAACAATCACTAATACTTAAATAGAGAGGGCTGACCGTGTGCCCAGTACTATGTGAAACACTGTAACACGTATTCACTCATTTAATCCTCAAAACAATACGAAGAACTAGGTTCTGGTATTACCCTTATTTTACACAGGCAGGAAGGGGGGGTCTGGAGGTAGTTAAACTCATGCCAAAGGTCACATCACTAGTGAGTGAGGTTGGCAGCCGTTAGCCTTGGGCAGCTGAAGTTCAGTATTTGTGCTCTTTGTGTACTAAATTTTTTGACAAACAGGATATTCAACCTTTGTTTTCAGATATTCCTTCTGGCTTTGAGGTATATACATGAAGAAATGTGCTTGTGAGATGTACTATTATGAATATGTGACTTGGTCTAAAGACGAAGCAGTTGATGTTTGCCTCAATACCGTAAGAATGGTACCTAGGGAATATGGAACACTATGAACATACAAGCCAAGTCCTGCTCACAAAAAGAAATAAACACCCTAGTAGCCAAGGGAGGATATTTCTACTTCTACAGCTTCCAGCTTTATGTGAGATATCAGTATTTGTGGCCCATGGACAGTGAGAGCTATGTGAATAAGGATATCTATGTTTTGAAAGGATGTTGTGAAATGACTCTCAGTCAGTAGATACAGAAAAAGCCAGATATAAAAAACTGGAACCTCCTATCACTTAGCTAACATGACCAGGTGCTTGGCTCACACGCCCTCCAAAATAACCCAAGTACCTGCTTCAGGCTGTTGGGATTACTGATATTTTTCTTTATTTTCCAATATTTTAAAATTATGGCTTTTACAGAGAAGAAAATAAATGGAAATTACAGGCAAGAAATGCTTTTTTAGTAGAACGCATCATGAAGGCATATAACACATTGTCACAAAGCCATTTCATTGGACTGACTAGTGTTCCTACTGAAGACCACAAACATAAGCAAGGCTACAACATTCCTTAGAATTATGCAACCCGTGTAACCTGTTTGGGGTGAATATAGGTCACATTTTATAACACCTCATCCTAGAAAAAGAAAAGGCATCATTTAACAAATCAGAAATATCCTTAGAACTTGGGCTTCTTTATCTCATTGGTTAAAAACAACCCAAACCAATAAAAGCAACAAAAACCAATTGGGTTGGGGTTGTAAACACCTCCTGAGCCATTTGCTGTTTTTCTTTCTCTTCCTTTTTCTGCCGTCTTAGCTTAGCGCTTACCCCTCATTGACATCTCTGTTTTTCTTTTCCCGGCTCTCTCTCCTCCTCAAGGGCTTTAACTCCAAGGTTTTCTCCAAAGGCACTCTCAGAACTTCAACACTCCCCACAGTAGAAACACCTCCCTAATCTGTTTCTCTAGACCTGGGCCATTCCTCTGTGTCTCTGGAGGAACACAAATTGAGATTCCTACCAGCACCTCAGGTGCAAATGAAATTCACTCTAGTGCATTCAGATTGCCTCCCTACCCTGTTGTCAATAGCTTTCCATGGCTTGTAGGACTACTGAGGCTCCTAAATGTGACATTCAAGGACCCTTAGCATCTGACTCCATTTTTTTCTACTGCACTTTTATCTCCCTGCTTTCTAGCAAACTCCATGTATCCAGCAATGCTGATCCAATGAGACAGACTGGAAGTGATACACAGCTGGGATCAAATCCTGAGTCCTCCACATGCATGCTCTGTGGCTCTGGGTGGCTTCACATCTACTCTGACCCTCGGTTTTCTCATGTATTAAATGTGAATGAAGATAATAGTACTTGCCCTGTAGGGATGGTGAAATGTGGTAACATGGGACAAAAGTGGCAAAATACCTGGCACAGAGTAGTACCTTATAAATAGTAGCTATTATAAGAATAATTATTTTTGAAGTAGGGTCTCACTCTGTTGCTCAGGCAGGACTGCAGTGGCATAACCATAGCTCACTGCAGCCTTAAACTCCTGGGTCTAAGTGATCCTCCCACTTTGGCCTCCTGGGTAGCTGGAACTACAGGCATAAGCCATCATGCCTAGCTAATTTTTTAATTTTTATTTTTAGTAGGGGTGGGATCTTGCTCTGTTGCCCAGGCTGGTGTTGAACTCTTGGACTCAATTGATTCTCCCACCTCAGTCTCCCAAATTATATTATAATTATGAATAAGCATTTAATATCTCCTCTGTGCATAGCTCTACTATAAAACCTTTTGCTGGGAACTTTGTATTCTGTTTCCTTGGTTTTGATCACAAAATAGAGAGGGTCCATTTCTCACCTCTGTGCCAAATTCAGTCTCAAGTTCTTCCTTCCTTGGACTTCGTAAGCGCCTGGGCCGAGGAGTGGGGATTTCCTGCAGCAATGCACTTTCTGCTTTGGACTAAAAAGTCAAACAGAAAATCACTGCTACATGATGTCAGGAACGCTGAGAAATAATCAGTAAAAAATACTGCTATCCTTCTTTAAAGGGTAAGTGCAAGGAAGATGCTTTAGAAAAATGACATTAAATTCTGAAGCATCATTTTCATCTGTGCCAATGCAAAATAAGACATTAACATTTAAAACTTGAAAGACAAATTGAATGGTATTCAAATCCATGCAGTTTGGAGCACAAAAGTAAGCTAGACAAGCCCTGGAAGATTGCAATCAGCACTGAACAGAATATTCATGTGGTTTCTCTCACCCTGGCAGCTTGCAGTTTCTCCCTCATGCGTCCCCTCATGGAAAATTCTGCAAAGCCTGTTCTGGAAGTTGAAGGAATTGGAGGTAAGCCTTAAACAAAGGAAAAGAAAAAGGGAAATTACTTTTAAAAAATTCCCTCCCCTCAAAGGGAAGATTAAATTAAAAAAGAAATAAGAGAACATAATTTTAGTTTGAACATTTAGAACTTCACATAAGCAAACATGAGATCATGCTGCCAACCAGCCTTTTGACGTAACAAGTACATGTCCTGGCTTTTCTGACACTGACAGTGCAAACCTCAGTCCTGCTGGCACTGTCAACTTGACTTAACTGAGAATAAAATGAATGACACTTGACTTTTCAAGGCATATGAATACTTACCAATTCAATTGCCACTGGGAAAAGGCTCTCAAATTTGTTGATTTGAGAAACAGGCTTGTCAGATGAATGGGTGGCTAATGAATTTTAGGTTTCAGGGTTTAACTTTCAACTACACTGATAACTTTAATCAAAGAAACCTTTTCTATAGGCCCAGGCCTAGCCCTGGGTTATATCATAGAGGCAATATGCATTTCATGTATATTATTGAGTATATCCATAAATACCATGAACTATCAGGCAGCTATTGTGTGCCAGGCTGTGATATCTGCATCAGATGCATTTCTCATCAATTTTTGTGCTATCTTTGTGAGGAGTACCACAGGTATCATCATCACCAGCTATCACGGAAATGAAGTCTCTGCATTCCTGCGTGATAAATGAGTGGCTCTACCATCACACACATAGAATGTGGAATGCTTGGGATTTGGTCCCAGCACCATATCCCCCAATTCTCTAAACCATTACAAAAAGAGGTGGAAGTAAAATGGGGTCTTTGGGGAACAGAATGTTAGCATGGTGGAGCAGAATGTCTTTTCTAGGATGAAGAAGGACTCGAGATCGCAGGATTTTGAGGTCAAGTTATGGAAAGCCTCTGATGTCACATTAAGGAGTCTTGGCTCTGTTCCCCAAGCAGTGCAGATATCAAGAATGCGCAGGGAGGAGGATGCGAATGCACGCAGCATTTTCAGAAGTTGCACCTGGGGGTGCCGGTAAGGATGGTTGGGGTGGAGTGGGTGAGGCACCAGGGACCACAGTCCGGATGTCCTGATATGAGATAAGAAGGGAAGGGGGTCAGTGTGAGTCAGTAAGACAGGCCACACAAAGGAGAATACAATAGGGCTTAGCCGCGATTGGTTGATAGGGACCAATGGTCAGCAGCAGCAGCAGCAGCAATCGTGTCTTCTGGGAACTTGTTAGATACACAAATTTTCAGGCATACTCCAAAACCTGGAGTACAGCCCAGATACCAAGGGAGTTTAAACACATAATCAACCTGGAAGACCCCGGAATAGAGAAAGAAGGAAAGGTTTCAACACGAGAAGTTTGATGCTGCTGAGAAAGAAAGAGAAATGAGAAGGGGAAGTCAGACTGGGAGGTGCTAGGTTCATTTGTCTGGGGCCAGATGGGTCTGGCCAGGACACCGAGCTCTGGGACAGGGGCCAGACTCAATAGTAAAGGCTTGGGAAGGCTTTGAACCATGGTTGAGTGCTGAAGCTTTGAGAAAGGACTGTTTCCTGAGGAGAGAAGGACTCTCATGCTTGTAGACAATGACACTGTCAGGCGGGAACGCAACAGATGAAAGTAAGAAGAGAGGTAGAAGGAAAAGTGGCAGAGAGAAGGCAAAGATAACAGGTCTGCAGGTTCCTCCCGAGCCTGCTTTATGCAAGCAAAGACAATAATCCCCGGCCTCAAAGCCCATTTCTGCAGCACAGCCACTCTGTCTCTTGGGTTGTGCGTTCTTCCATATGTGTGATAGAAAGCTATAAAATACTACCTGTATCATGCTCCCAACTATCACTTACTTTATGCCTGTATGGAGGCATGAAATATTCATGGTAATGATTAGAGTCTGGCATGCATGTGTTGAGGTTCAAAGTTCTTTAAGAGAATCTCCATTAGCTTAATAAAATAACCTTTGATATTTTTTTAAAACTCACTAAAAATCAAGTCATTTTTCATTTTAAAGATAATATAACTATGGTAGATTATGTTCCTGTGACATATGTGCAGAGACCTGAGACTTCCTTCATTGCATCTGTCACATTTTGAATTTATATACAGTCATGTACTGCAGAGGATATTTTGGTCAATGGCAGATCCCAGATACAACAGTGGTCCCATAGGATTATAGTGGAGCATATGTAGAGATCTGACTATGGCACCTGATACCAGTTTTGCAGATCAGGTAGGAGAAATAATTGATATTCAGTAATGACTCTGGGACATTTGGTTTTCCATATTAAAAAAATACAGAAATAAATATGTATACTATCTAAGTTTGTGTAAGTATGGTTTATCATGGTCCCATAATGACATAATCACTCAGTGATGCATTTCTTAGAACGTCTCCCTGTCATTAAATGATACACGACTGCATTTGTTAGGCTATTTGATTACTACCCATTTCCTCCCCATGTTCTAAGGTTCCCAGGCATGTAGGGAAGGTACAATGTAAGTATCACTAAGCATGTGTGGAATGCCTGGATGGGTAAACAAGGGCTTCTAGACTGAACCCCTATCTCTTGCCAATGCTTTCCTCTGTCTGACCATTTACTGTGCCTCTGCTCCTATCACCAACCCCCTCACCAACCAGTGAGAAGCCTTTTTCAAAACTAGTAAGTTTTTATGAACATAAAAACTAATCTTATTTACCCCACCTTAAAAATTCAGTTTTTCTCAGTTTACATAAAACAGTTACTACTTATACACAGTTTACTAGAACAATTTTATGAATTATTCTTTAAAAGAGAGACAAGATATTTTATTAAACACTATCTCTTCTGAATAAAGAAACTGAAGTGGCTTTATTATTAGTTTTAAAAACATCGGCAATTTTTTAAACCACAAAAAGTAGCTCTTGCCTGATTCTTTTTTGAAATTATGACATTTATCATTTTTCATAGACTTTATTTTTTAGAGCATAAAATTGCTTCACAAAAAAGTTGAGGGGAAGTGACAGAGACTTCCCATATCTCCCAGCCCCAATATACTTAGTTTCCCTGATGATCGTGCCCCCACCAGAGTGGCACATTCATTACAACTGATGTACCTACATTGACGCATCAATCACCCAAACCCACAGTTTGCCTTGGGATTTACATTTGGTGCTGTATATTCTATGGATTTGGATAAAGCTATAATGATATGTATCCAGCCTTATAGAATCATACAGAGTAGTCTCACTCCCCTACAAATCATCTGTGCTCCACCCATTCAGCCCTCTCTTCCCTCTACTTTTGGGCAACCACTGATCTTTTTATCGATTTTTTTTTTTTAAGTCTGTGCTAGTAAAAGACATGTAGAGGATTTAAAGATTTCCAAGTCAGGTCTGTACAACTAGCTGATGACATGTCATCTCCCAGCTGAGTGTGACCAGCTGAGAGTAAGAAACGTATTGGAGAACTTCTGAACTTGGGTTTTGTAGCATTAGATCAGTGAAGGAAAAACACAGAAAGGAACCATGATGGTGTGAGGGATATTATACTTAAAAAGGTATTTCAAACAAAATAAATGTAATCTTCACTTGTTTGAGACCAGATAATAATGAAGATTTTTTTTAAAAAGATAATATTACTAACATCACATCCATGGAAGCCAAGGGTACCAGTTCACTTCCTTTGACATAATAACTAATGGGGTTAACTACTTTCATTTTTGTCTTGGTAGAATATGGCGAACAATGTTTCTTTAAACAGCTGGAAATACTAAGACAACCCTCATTAAACATTTTTCTCCTAATTTATTGTCAGTTGCTCCACTCCATTACTAATCAGCTACATGATCTCGAACTGGCTCTCCCTTTCAATCTCTGCAGGTGAGAACTGATCTGCCAGGCTTGAGGAAGGGCTTGATTTCACATTTGCAGTAAGAGGCATATTCAGAAAATGGCCTTTTGACATAGCTAAGAAAACATGACATGAATAAAGTTTCTGTAGCATCAAATACAAAGTGTGATGAAAATTAATTTTTTAAAATTAAGATTTGATTTGAGAGCATGTAAGAACTTACAGATAATGAGAGAATTTTAGGACATTCCATTAAAAAGATATACATAATGTTAATGTGGTATGAGATGTGGATTTCTTTGGGAAAGTGATGTTTTTCATCAGACACAGCAGGAGATTACATGTTTAGTAATGTTGTACTTGCTCCCAAGCAAACCCATTAACCCCAAGGCTACATGAGCCTTATGTTTGAAATGGCTTTCAGATCCTCTCTGTACTCTCTTCTCTTTCCTATCACCCATACTCACTGTTCCCCAGTTACTCCTCTTTTTAGGCTTAATAAAGTGGTGGACACTCTCCATTTTTCTCTTAAGCACTTCTGTTATACCCAATCCCTCAGAAAACCCAACCATATTTTCCTAACAAAATAGGTGTTTCATTTCAAATAATTTTCTATTACTCTTATGTTATGTCCATAAATTGATATGATCTAGAATCCTGATGCCTCCCCTACATTTTTCATAAATAACAGTTTTGTTGACACATAAGCCACATACCACAGGGTCCTGCTTTTCAAATGTGCAAAATACACGAATAGTCATTCTCTAAGAAAGAAGTACAATTGGCTAACAAGCACATGAAAATATGTTTAACATTATTTAGTCTTGGGAAAACGGAAACCAAAACCACAGTTAGGTACTACTTCACCCCTAGAGGATGACTGTAATAAACAACACAGACAATAACAAGTGTTGACAAGGATGTGGATAAATTAAAACTTCGGTGCTGATAGGAATATCAAGTGCTGTACTGACTTTGGAAAACATTTTGGTAATTCCTCTAAATCTTTGGCAAATATTTAAAAGTATGACAAAATTTATGTCAACTTAAAAATATGCAAGGAGAACCTAGTATTTCCATAATTATTGCAGGGGTAGTGGACAAAAGAGTTACAGGGACACAGGCCTGGACTGTCTTCTACTTCTGCCTCTCCATTTCCAATGCTCAAACCTCACCACAAAGTTATCTTTCTCTAATGGAAAA